ACAGGCACTCCCCGCTAAATCCTGTACCCCACCAAGCAACAACAGCAGCAGCAGCAGCAGTTGCTGTGCTCCCTGTCCTGATGTGCCATGACCTCACATACACACACACACACACACATGCATCCACACACACACCGAAGCCCTATGCTCTGCCAAATGCTAGCAGCAGTGGAAGTAGCAGTGGTAGCAGCTCCAGTTTCCACCATGCCATGGCCCCACTCAGGGCCAGGCTGGAGACCCACGCACACATGCATGCATGCACACACATACACTTGCATGCATGTCCAATGCCTCACTGAATGCCAGCAATGGCACCTCCACTCCTTGCTCCACTGTACCATGGCCCCACTGGGCCCAGGGTGGAGACCCACACACACGCACGCACGCACAGACACACACACACACATATACACATGTCCCCCCCCCCCAAAATCCCACTCCCAGCAGAAAGCCAGCTGGAGTGGTAGTGTGTGGCTGTGCTGCTTTTCGCTACACCAGGAACTCTGGCAGGGGGAGGGGTGGAAAAAGACCCCTCCTGATATGGGGGGCAGGGGTCTGGCCCAGCCCAGCACTCATCAAGACCCAAGATGGGAAGCTGGGGTAGCCCTTCTGGCAGGGGGCTCCTTTTACACCGCCTGCCCTTCCATAGTTCCTTGCATGGTGAAAGGTGGCACTGCACTGCAGCTCCTGGCTGCAGCTGGAGGAAAGGAGCCCCCTGGCCTGGCTGCAGCACATCAAGGGACTGGGGTGGCTGTTCAGACAGAAATCCACCTTCTCCACTCCCTGCCCCTACCAGGCCGCAGCTCACAGCTGGCTGGAGGGTGAACATGGGGCTGGGATCAGAGGCTGTCACTGGGTCAGGTCAGTGACCGCTGAGGGGGCAGGGCTAGCTCAGTGCTCAGGCAGAGTAGACAAGCTCTGCCTGAGGTGTGTATGCTGCCCTGCGAGGGGCCCCTGGGATGCTAGGAAGTGCAATCTAGTTTAACACCTAATGGGATATAGCAGACACGTTCAAAAAACCACTGTAACCTAAAGCGCTTTAGTCTGATAGCACTTCCATCGAGGGTTAACTTAGAGTGGGATCCACCATTTTTAAAATGCTCTCTGAGCCATGCATATCTATTCTGTTACACCTATAGAGTGCTTTCTGCATGCAGTACATATCATGTCTGTACCTAGGAATAAAGACCATCCTAGCAAGCCTTTCCTGAGCTGTGTAGGTCTAAGGTAAAACTCAGGACCTGAGGTAATGTGTTAATTATAAATATTTCATATGAGAAATGTATAACTGTACAAGATATAGTAAATGTATTACAAGAAAGAACATCTTAAAGAGACCAAAACCTACAGCTGGTCCACAGCTATATCACATATTTATTATTTACATATTTAGGAAATGTTTAAACATCTGTAAAGAAAATAATTTGTCATGGAAGCAAAAATAGCATATTTCTGAAAATGTATACAATTTTATTATTTTACTAGAAATACAGACTTAGATTTTTCTTTTAATAATCCAGTTTACTGGGGGTTACATGGTTAGACTGTTTCCTTCATTATTCTTGTGCACTCCCACTGATTTCACCCAGCTTGAACAAGTATAACTGAGGACAGCAATTGTCCCACTGTAATTATTTCATGCTGAAGTACTTAGTAATTATTGTGTCACCTGCATAGCATTAGCTCTAGGAACATAAGATGCATCTCTCTTTGATTAGCTTTTAGTAGTGGTCATTGGGTAATTTGGAGTAACAATCATACTGTTTTCATTCTGTGTAATGTGGCAGTTCTCTCTAATTACATATGCACGTTCTTAATTAGGGGCCTACTGTTGCTAAGGGAATATGTGCAGTTTGACACCTATATGCATGTGGAATTCTGCTTGATGTAAGGAAACTCCTCCTGGATATTTATACAGGATTGAGCCTTATTTTAGCATTAATCTGATGCCTACTAATGGTAAACTGCTTTCATTAGGCTTTAATATTTTTAATGTAGTTAGTGCAGAAAGAGGTATGTAATATTTTCTGAAAGACTGAAAAACGAGTTTAGAATTTTATACTTAAAATATTTATATAAGGACATGTATTTAAGAATATAAAATGGAAATACAAAAGGATTTATTTTATAAATATACATAAACTAAATATATGAGTGCGGCTGCTAATATACATAGTTTACACACACACATAGTACAGGCATGCATGCCCATATACGGTAATAGCAATAGATGGGCAATACAATTTTAGAACAAAATAATGTTTTGCTTTCAAACACAATGAGGATCAGTAAGCATTTATGCACTTCTCTAAGTGAAAGAATTTATATGATCAAAATCTGTAGGGATCCAACAACTATATTTTTTATACCAATATATTCCCTTAGGTAATCAAGCAGTTAAATATATTTTTTTTTAAAGTGGATGGTCTTTAGCATATGAAGAACTATCCCAAATGCACATGGACTGCACCCAGTCTGTGTTCATGCAGCTTACTTTAAGCCACTTAAATATAGACCAGGAGCAGTGTGTACAGGCATTTTCCATTGCTGGGAGTCATGTAACTCAGGGTGGGGGAGTGACTAACAGGTCTCGGCTGGTGCGGTGGGGGGGAATTGGGTCCATGGAGACAGTTACCCAGTCATGGCCTGGGGATTAAATATAGCCCAGTAAGGGTAGGGGGTCAGATGAAGAGGCTAGGCTTTCCCAGTCCCAAGGTTGAGCTGCAAATGCATACAAGAATTAGCAAAATTGGGTTAGCCCTTTCCTAGACTGGTTTAACTCTTTCTCAATCTAACCTCGTGCACCTCCCGAGGTAAATTAATTTTGATTAGGTGCCATGTTTTGGGGTGTTTAAACTTTCTGAATGCCTACATAATTGGATATTTAGCTTGAACTAACTGTAGTTAGGTCAATCTAAATATATTGCCTGTAAGTACCTGTAGAGTCTATGTTTTATCTGGATCAAAAGTGAGCATTCAGACCTTACTGGCCATGTCCAGACAAGTGCGGATATATGGTTTGCCATGAACTAGGAGTAGTGGCACATCTTGTGCCGCTCTTACTTGTCCCTGGGGAATTCCTAAGCCACATGTGCTCTGGCACACATAAGGTTACCCTGGGTCGGGTAGGGGAGGCTAGGGCCGGCAACTGTGCTGGCCACAGCAGCCTTAGCTGGGATCTTGGGGGCTGGGGAATCTGCAGCTGTGAGACTCCTGCAGCTGGGAGCCTGGCTGGCAACCTGAGAGCAGCTTCGGCAGGCCAGGCTTTGGTTTTGGTTGGTGCACACTGCAGCCATGTGTGCCACCCTGTTTTTTTTTCTACACAGGCTTTTTTTTGACCCTGGGATCTCGAGCACCAACTCCTTCCCCCCCCCCCCCCCCCCCCCCACGCGAGCCGGCAAGAGAGAGGAGGCATTA